GGGGGGGGGGGGGGGGGGGGGGGGGGGGGGGGGGGGGGGGAGATGGGGATTGAAAGAGATGAATCTTTAATGTTCCCACCAGCACAAGAGCTCTGATCCTACGGTCTCATCTTTAGGAGGTTTAAAAGATGAAATAAAGCTCAATTTCTCTTAGTAATGGCTTACACCTTCGGGAAACTTTCTTAGTGGAAGTGCATTTCTATCACCCAGCTATGTAAAAAAGTCTGAACTTGGAGCTATAACTAGAAATCTCTGCGGTGAGAGCTGGTAGGGTAGCAACAGCCAGTGATGACGCAGAGTATCAGAAGAGAAGGGTAAGGGGTGGCACATCTGGGACCCCGAGAAGAGTGGAGTGGGGGGAAGCGGCGGCAATGGTGCAAAGGATTGTCCAGCTCAAGGAGGATGACAGTCCCCCAGAAATATTCATCTGGGCACCCAAAGGATGGAAGGCAGCCAGGACAGCAGCTTCCTGGCAGTGGAACCCTGGATGGAGGGGTTAGTGAGGTAGTGGGTCACGAGGAACTGCACAGGGACCATGAAGGCAGAGTTCTGTGAGAGAACAGAGCCCCATTCCACAGTGTAGTCACTGGGGGTGGGCCAAGGAAAGAGATTCATTGCATTCTGCAGGCCAGGGGCATGTTACAAAGTGCCAGGAGGGTCTTCTCAGAGAGGTTCAGGGACACCTGCCAAGAAGGCTGCCACGGGGAAGAAGTGAACCGTCTGGAGGCTGACGCCCTAAGCTGAACCCCAACGGCTTCCCAATTACAGATCTCCCATGAACAAAGAGGGCACAGCAGTGATAAGCTAACATAGCATTGATGTTAGTAACTAACAAAGTAACTAAGTATCACAGGGCTTCAGAGAAGGCGGGAAGACTTATGAAAATGCACGTTTGTCCTGCAATAAACTCTGCTGCCCTCCTAATACCTCCTACTTGGAGCTCAAGTGGCCCTCAGTCACTGATTGGCCTAAATCGCTGCTGAGTATAATGCTCACAGACTGCAATCTGGACTATCATCATCTACTCCTAAGAAGCTTCTCTCTCTCCCTTCTCGGGCCTCCAGTCTACCCTGCATATTACCTCTAGGCAAATCTTTTTTATACGTAGATGTGATCATGTCACTCTGTGCAAGCTTGGTGGCCAATGACTATAATCCCAGTCACGGGAGAGCCTGAGCTTCGGGTCATAGTATTCTCCTCCAGACACCTCATCATCCACCCAAACCACCAAAGCTCTTCCCCATCCCTTGTTCTTCATCCCCTTCTTTGCCCATTAAATCCCTACCTATCCTTTAAAACCCAAATCAGAAGTTACCTTGATGAAAAATTCCATGATTTTTCCCCCTGGCACTTTGTATTATCCATTTCGAATATACTTGGTATGAGTTGTTGTTTATTATGGTCATCAGTATGTGGATCTTATCACCCTACTAGAATGTAAACTTCATATCTAGGAATTTAAACTTTACTGTCTCACCCAGTGCCTAGCATAGTGCTCTGTACACACAGTAGGTACTTAATAAATATTTGTTTTCTTGAATTGCATTTGTCATGGAGAATACTAGCAATCTTAAGGACCCATGAAGGGGAGGAAGTGAGGCAGGAAGAAATGGAAAGCATGGGAGGAAAGGAACAGAGATCTTTGGGGAGGAAAAGGAAAATTTTAAAAATCAAAATTAAAAATTAAAGAAACAAGAGCA